TTAATTAATATATATATATATATATATATATATATATATATATATATATATCATTCATACATATGACACAAATACACATATAATTAATACTCTTTACAATTACTGCTATAAATAACTTTTATCATCAAAGATTACGAGTTGAATTACCTCACGAGTATACAACATAAATATAACAATCCATATTTCAATATTCAAGTTAATATAAAGTTATTACAAATTTTATTCCAATCCCAAACTTACGTCGCGCGATATTTTATTAGACTTTATTAGACTTAATTTTGCGATGAACAAGAAAACGATAAATTATCACTGACGAGACGTCGCCAAGTTATATCAAATATAGCTTTTCTCAGATAATCGCGTATAATCGCGAGGAGATGCGTTCGAATATTTTTTTAAGAGATTGATCAAATCGAGATAGGATTTCGCAATAAATTTTTTTTAATTTTTTTTTCATTTGACTCGTACACGGAACAAATTCTTTTAAAGTGATCTCAAATGTCGCGAAAAGGGACGAATCACACACGAGTCACGCCGCGAGGAATTCGTAGCTGGTGGAAATGTTTTTTCCCCGAAGCCGACGGAATTTCGTGGCTCGAGCGAATGTCGCGGCCAAGGGATCGGCAAACAGATATACGCTAGATGCACGTCAATGACCAATGGCTGAGACAGCGACCACCATATGGAATGGAGCGTTAACTTGACACGTCACGAGATCGCTAACCTCTCGCGTCGGGGACCAACATCCGCACGTTGTCGCGACGGGAAAGAAGAAGAGCACAGATGGAAACGCGAAACGGCGAGAGAAGTACGGTACGAGGCGAGAACGACCTCGATGAGGCCACGAGGAAGGAAGGAAGGAAGGATGAAAGTTAGACACGCACGCTTTCACGCATAACAGCACGGACAGCGAGACAGCAGTTTGAAGTTGCTACTTACTCTACCGTAATAAAGAAATCCGGCCAAGTAATAAACACGTATTACGTAGCCAGGTTTAACGGTGATTTGCCTGAAACAGTACAACAGTCGGTTACGAGAAGCGAGCGGCGGTATTTCAGGCGAAGAGATCTAATTAAATTAACGTGCAGCGGAATTATCGCTTCATTTTTTTTTTTTTTTTTTTACCGCGAGGACTCACGACTCTCCTTACCGGTAACGCAAAGTGAAATGAGACGGAGGAGCCTCGAGCGGCCGAAAATCACCACGTTCTGGAGAATAGGCTACGTCACGACGAGATACCAATGTCGTGGTCGCGAATTACCAGACCACAGAACATATACTAAGAGAAATGAAAGCTCTGTATATAAGATGGGCAACAAAAGATGAGGCACTGCCATCTGGTGGTGGAGTGCGGAACTAAAGTAAATTGACGGGTTTCGTCTCATATATACATGTAATCTTTTCGATATCGAAATTTGAAATAGATATTAAATGATAATTAGGTATGTAAAATTAATAAAGACAAAAATAAACACTATATACAAAATAGACGTATTTATTACAAAATAAACTGCACAAATACAATATATATTTGCGCCAATATTTACATGTTTAATCAGTCAAATATTCGAAAATCGCATTTGTCATTAAGAAGTAGGATTGATCGATTGATCAATTACGATTGACACTTAAATTCGGTTGGTTAATAAAGATAATCGAAAATAGTGAGACTGGCTCTAAATCTCTAGATTCTTTCTGCAAATAACTTGCATCCATTCTTCTCAACGTTCAACTCATTTTTTTTCTAAAAATTAAAAAAAACAAAGAATAAATTAAATCGAGATTAAAATTAATTTATATCGGTAGAGATGGACATAGAATTAAAAAAGCGTAATGAAGCGTAAATTAAATTGAGATTAAAATTAATTTGACAGAAACGAATGTTATTTAATAAATGATAATAGATATATTCAACTTGGACATTCCTTTGAAAAAGGAAATATTCTAGATATTCATTCTTTTTTCGTGTTTCATTGTCAAATCGTGTCCCATACAATGCAGATCTTGTAATTGCTGTGCTGTAATAGTGTAGCAATATTGCTGCAATATTCTAATATTGCAACAATGTTATTGTAATATAGCTGCAAAGTGTATGGACAGATTCGAAGAGGAGTCACTTTGATGAAACGAAAGATATCTATTAAATTAACCATATGCTTCTTTCGACTTTTCTTCGTAAAAGAAATGTAGGAAAAAACAAAATTAAAAAACATATAAATGTAAAAAAAATATGACACACATTCTTTTATATTATGAATAAATATAGCGAATTGGCGATTTTGCGCAGTGAAATTGTGAAATTTCACGCGAACGATTTGCTCCATTAGGTTTGTCGCGTTGCTCACATTTCCTGGCGTTTGAAGCGAGATAGATATTTATATGCGGGTGTCAAAAAGAGAAAGAAAGACAAACTGCGGAAAGTGCAAACAATGCAAGCAATGCGAACAAACTTATTTGTTGTGGCTGTGTTGCCGATGTTCAATATACTTGCAATAAAGTACAATTACGGTTCTTTCAATTCCAATCTATAAACTTAAATATTAGATAATGATTTATATCGATGGATCGTTTAGATTGGCCAATAAATGATGAATAAGCTGGAGTTTCTCTTGAGTATCTCTGTCGCAGCTGTTGTCGCCGCTGTCAGTTGTCGCTGCCGTTTGACAGCTTGGCCCTCCGCTTTTCGATTTCACTTCCCCTTCCCGAACAGCCGAAGTCAGATTTCCATATAACGCTCCCTGTCAGGATCGTTAGACCGAGATAAAGCAACATTCTTGCGTGGATTATGCGTTAATGCGACGATCGACACCGTGATGGACCCCGAACGATTAATAATGGGACCGTTCCGAAAGCAAATGACATGACATTTGCGCGCACAGTGATGAGGAACTGCGATATTAATCGCCGTGTGTCAGTGAAAGCGAAAAATGTTCGTCAGGGATCCTTGTGGCATCGTATGCATTCTCGTCACCTATGTGGCAGTGTTTTACGCTGACTATGTCGTGGTACGGTGGATCGTGTTGCACACTATGCAAGACAGGTTTGCACAATGAATATTAATCAATGGCAAAAATCAACGTATGTTTTACATAAATACAATAGTTTTCTATTTTCTACTTTGTTTTAATTTGTTTATATTTTTCTATGAGAAATATTTTTAATGAGGATTTCCTTGGTCTCAGTTTATGGGGCCCCTTCCACATAATAGCGTTCAACACTATTGTACTTCTTCTGATGATGGCACATTTGAAGGCTGTCTGTAGTGATCCGGGTATAGTGCCCTTACCACAGAGTAGAATAGACTTTTCTGATATTCATGTTTCCGGAGGAAGCGATGACCATGAGAGTGACGAAAAGGATGATTGGACAGTGTGCACTAGATGCGAAACATATAGACCACCTAGAGCACATCATTGCAGAATTTGTAAGCGTTGTATCAGAAGAATGGATCATCATTGTCCATGGTAATTATCATAGCATAATAATAATCATAGCATTAAAAACAATAGCAATGTTTGAAAATCAATATAACAAGCAATTTTCAACAAATATTTATCTCTTTAATTTTTATTATAACTGATACATCATGAACTTATTAAAAATTCACTAAAATTGAATGTTTAAGGATCAATAATTGTGTTGGAGAGAGAAATCAAAAATACTTCATACAATTTCTGGTATATGTTGGTGCATTAGCTATTTATGCTATTATTTTAGTCATTACATCCTGGATTTATGACTGTCCTCAGTGCAATAATGATATTGCAGTCAAACAAAACCGCATGTATGTATTCATATTTTTACAAAATTAAGAAGATTACAGTTATGAAAATTAAAATACTAATGAATTAACATATTGCAGTTTACATTGTGTGATATTAGTTTTGGAGTCGGCATTATTTGGTATGTTCGTCATAGCGATTTTAGTTGATCAATTCCAAGCGATTTTAGGTGACGAAACCGCTGTAGAACGCGTACAAGGTATACAACAACGTTATAAGAATACACGAATGTTTACACTTTTATCTCAAGTGTGTGGAAAGAGTCACCCAATATTTTGGCTGTTGCCTTGTCACAATCCGCCGCGTTATTCTTTTAGAAAGGATGCATATTTAATCGATCACGAAGTTTAAGATTATATATAAAAAGAGTGTGTATTATGAGTTTACACATAAATAGTATTTCTTTTGTATTATTATTTTGTATGTAATTACATTAGGGTGATTCATTCCTTGAATTAATATCTTAATACGCCTTTATACAAATTATTGATATAATATAGATTTGAGACTTGTAGCTATAACGTTTCTACAGCGTGGAATAATATATAAACATGTTTATTATATATGAGATGGTTAATATATATTACAAACATATATTAATCATTATTATATACACAATTGTATTTATTTAAATTGTAAACAAATAAGCTTTAATTAACATGCTATTACTTATGTTGTAATATACATTACTAATAACAGTACAGTGAAAATGTATATTATGTTAATAAATTCATTTTTTATCTTTTAAAGTAAAGTATATTTAAAATATTTAAAACTAAGAGAGCGATACTCCAAATGATACGAATAAACACTAATTCTTTAAGATATCGCTAGGAACTGTATCCTCGCCTAATACTCTTTATTCACAGGAAGGATTGTATTGTAGTATTCTGGAAAATAAAATGGTTAAAAGAACTTCAAGAAATTAGAGTTTTATTGTTAGATAATTAATATGTATTTCTTAAATAATTTTGATAACAATTTTAATTAATTTTATCTTATTTTCTCGTGTTTGTTAACTATTAATAATAGTTTTATTATAATAAATGTATTTTATTAATAATTTATTACTAAATTGAAATTTTTATTTTGAGAAAAGATATTTGCGATAAATAACATTAATTATGTTATTATGGATTACATTGAACATATTTGAAATATATTTTATTGATGCTGAAATTTTTTTTATTTTATATGCATGCCTTTCTATGTCAATTCGTGTGCACGGAATTTTAAAATTATCCAAGTAGCCAATCTTATGATTCTAATTATATTTTTCATTATATTAATATAATATATTAGCTACATTTATCATTAATGTTAGAACAGTTCATATCCGTTATTAATTTTAGAACAATTTATTTTCTAAATTTAACAAGAATTAATCAATAATTAATTCTTACAATAATTAACCTCTGATTTTAATTAAAAAATTTTTAATCTTACTATTCGCGTTCGGAGAGCGCGCTATAGTAAGATTAAAGCGCGCTATCAGCGCTTACATCACATCATTTCATTTTTATTGCTCATTATATATAAATTAAGGATAGAATGATGCGATAGTTCTAATAGCGCGCTCCTCGGACTCAACCGGTGTAATAATCAGGATGTTTTAAAGATCTATGGACAATAGGTAATAAGAACAAACAGAGAATAAAATCCCAAAGTCGATTGTGCATTTTGAAAATTGAGGTGAAAATTACAAAAATAAGAAAATTTACTTAGCTTTCTATGAAGTTGCAGATATTCTAATAAATTTCTTAACTTTTGTTCAAACGTTTACCTCGTTTCAAGATACACAAATTGCTCCCCGGAATTACAAAATTCTAGTTTCAAAATTTTATTCAATGATATAGTAGCATTTAATTGACCAATTAGAATTTAGAATTAAGAAATCTTTGTTCTTTTTACCGTGATTTGACAATTAAATGACGAATCATAATCGAGTATTCTTCTATAATTCGATTGTGATTGGTCAATTTTTTACGGTTATGGCATAAGTTAACAGATTACAACCTCCAATAACTCTCATTGTAGACGTCGCTTAAGTCTCGGTCCACAATAGCTGATTTAAGCTTTAAGAAGTAAGAAATTGATCAATTATAATCGAATATGAAAAGAATAATTGACTATAATTGGTCAATTTCTTACGGCTTAAAGATTAAATACTTATTGTGGACCGACACTTATGCAAAAGTGTGTACTCTAGCCTATAGAATGCATTCGTTTATGCAATTATTACCGCAGATGTCGTTTATTTACACAAGAGATTACACAGGAGATTTTTATAAAAAAAGAGGAGATATTGGAAGGAAATTGAAATGAAAACAATTAATAATTGGAAACAATTATTAACAGTTGATATACCAGACGGTTTTACTGTTGAATTTTAAAAGTAACAATACAAAAGCCATTACTTTTATAGATAAAATTTTAATTGAATCTATTCAACAAAATTTAAATAATGAAAAATTAATAATTTTCGTTGACGGAACTTTCGTCACGGTACCACAATTAAAAAATAAAAATTGCCAATTATGGACA